ACACATCATTCGATTCCTAACACACCATCGGATTTTTTGACCCAAATGGCAGCGGGGAGCAGCAACCCTCGCCCGAGTCCGCGAGACAGACACATCATTCGATTCCTAACACACCATCGGATTTTTTGACCATGTCTTCGGACGAAAGCGACTCCCCTCCTCGCTCCACCGCACTCCGCGCGCCCACCCCTATCGCCCCTCCCGCGCATGATGGTGACGGTGACACAAACGGCAGTGCCACGCCTGAGCCATTGGTGCAATCACCTACACCCGCTCAAATGGTGCTGCCAGATCCATCGGATACACAGCAAACCCATTCCGATCCCTCTCCGCCCTCGGCTTCACCCCCTGCCACTGCCATTTTGCCCGCTGCCATTTCACATCCTGTCGAACACAGTGAGCATGCAAACTCAGCCCCACTTGGCGAAGTCAGTGAGAGTGAAACACACGATGCAGCGGGCGAACACAGTGAGAGTGAGCAAGATGTTCTTCTCAGCGATCCTGCTCCGCCCATCGCTGCCAACGTGCTGGATGCCCAGCGCAAGGTCCTGCTGAAGACATCTGGCCACAGGCAACTCCTCGCCTGCCCATTTGGGCTTTGCAAATGCAAGGGGCCCCGCCTTGACCGCAAAGCCTGGGTTAATCATGTACTACGCGAGCACCCCTACGACGAGCAAGCCACTGATCTGGTCAAGCAGGTCTTGGAGGCCAAATTGGTCGCCCAGTGCAACAAGTGTCACCTCTTCTTCGAAGCTGCTGGTATCAGTCAACACCGCTCCCGATGTGGTGCCAATCTGAAGCGAGCGACCGAGGCGTTGTTTCATGCGGCTGGACACGACCTGCTTGAGATTATGCGTGGCGCTTGGCCCCAACAGTGTGTAGGGTCTCGCATCAGTGTCTGCGAGCTGCTCAAGCTCGCCCGGCATCCACTGATGCAGCGCAGCCGCTACCCATCCAACGCACCTTTTTTTTCTGACATCTTGGCGTGAACCACGTTGTCAGACAAAATCTGCAACCCCGCTCCTTGCGGCCCGCGTTTTGGCGGCGCCCTCGCTCCCACCGTGTCCGCTCGCTTGCTCGCTTGCTTGCCCCGCGGACATGGCCACTGAGTCCGGCGGCGAGGATTCTTGGACCCAGGTCCGCGGTGCTAAACGCCCGAGTGCCGAGTCACCTCCAAGCAACACCACCACCTCGCCTTCCCAAACTCGTCGTTCTGCAAAACACACAAAACATGGCAGCGCTCGCCACGACCGTAACCATGTTTTCCCTGACCCCATGACCACCCCGCTTCGCCCTCACGCCCGCCACTCTGCCTCTACCGCCCGTGCCTCGTCTCATGTGC